GTAATATCGTACCTGTGTCTTGAGGCTATGCAGTCTGTTACTTCATCACCTCCCCTCCGGATGTTTTGGGTCAAATTCGTTTGGTCTTTTGTCAGGTAACATCCTAAGCTAAGCTAAGCCGTCTTCTGTATAGTACACAGAAAGATTTTCCCTGATGAAGTTTATTAACCAGCCCAACTCTTTATTAAAACATTCAGTGTTATGGAAAAGAACCATATTGACAGATATTCACAAAATTATAGTCTGTAGGAAATAAAAAGCTATTTTATAATAAAAATAACAGTAAAAAAAAATTGTAAGTACGGTTGAAAATTAACTAATTTCTGTATCCAACAAAGCGGTCATGTCATGTTACCAAAAACAAACAACTCACAATGTAAATAGGCTGTCTGGTCACAAAGAGATGCAGACATCCTGCCTCAACAGAAGTTGCAGTATTCAAAGTAAGCAGATTCTACTTGATTCTCATCAATACAATTGTAAGATATATAAGTAAGGAAAATAAATGTAAAGATTCGTTCAAAATGAACGAATCGTTCGTGAACGACACATCACTGGCTCTCAGCCTTCCGTGTTGACCCGGAAATGGATAATCTTCTTACTTCAACCAATCGAGATTACTGGGTTCCAAAATGGCGTGGGGGAGTTGCTTTGTCCGGCTCAGACTAACCACAAAAGATGTTTTACGGAGCTCCGTGAAAGGTGGCAGGTGAGAGTGACCACAGACGGAATGGGGCGGCCTGCTCACACACAAACAGACTCCCGCTGCTGGGCTAGCAGGCACAGTTTAGCTGTTAGCCGGCTAACAGCTAACAGCTAAGTGCTAGTCATTAGTTTGCTTGTTTTGTTCTGACAATGTTAAACGTTTCACTTTTGTTGCCTTTTCGTAGTTTAGCCATTTATTTGTCAGGTAATTATAAAACTATTGCAAATGTTCAGATTTAGCGGCTGTCGGGTTTTAATGCTAAGTTGACCTTTCTCGTGTGTGTGTTTTATTACTTCCTCTATTTAAAGATATATGTTTCTAAATATATTGTTTTCGTGCATTATATGAACACAACAGTGAATAGTCAGCAATTAATCGCAGAAAAATGAAATAAATACAATGAAGTAATAACTACTGTCTTTATGTGACAAAATATCATAGCCTAGTTATTTTTCTTCTTATCTTGATAGATAATGGGCATGCTTTAATAATTCTAAAGGAAATTTTTAAGTAGTTCTGGACAGAAGCGTCCACAATTTTAAGGGTTTTAGTCCATTTCTTCTTGTGAATGTGAGAATGTCCCGTAAAAATCGTGCCTACAAAGAAATAAAATCTTTCTTGTCCATTTCGCTGTCCTCAAAACAAATAAACCTGCCTTTCTCATTAGAACGTATTGAACATTTAGGTGTTCCTAATCTGCAGAAGTCACAAGACTGTCTAAGACTGAGTTTTATACTTCTCCAGTATTTCCTCCTACTTCACATCTTTTACTTAACTGCTAAGACAACAGTCGTGAAACACCGGACAGGTTTATATTTACTGTGTGACATATGAGTCTGTGACACCTTTTATAAAACATTTGTTAATAAAATCTCATGGTCAGTGTCTAACCTGCCAACCGCTGTGCTCTTCTACATCATACACATTTTACCTAACATTCACTGACACACACCAGTTTCTTGATCGAAGGTCTGCATCTATTGATTGTTTAGATGATCAAAAATATAAACATGTGAGGTGTGCGTACATGTGTAAAAATGCCCTCACAGGAAGTTCTCTGTCCATCTAGCAGGTGGCCTCACAGCTGCCAACAGAGATGTGGCTTCAAGAAAGCCACGAGGAAACCAGAAACCAAGAGGGTAGTGGAGGAGGAGCCGGCACCCCCCCACACAGAGTCCTCTGAGACGACAGTTCACCACCGGACCTCCACCCCCCACTGGGACCAGCAGGTGCCACCCAGTTCCCCTCGGGCCTTCGGCCGGCTCATCAAGCCACTCGTCTTCACTGTGGGGGTAGGTGATATCTGCCTGTTGTTGTTGATGGGGGTGACATTGTTGGTGATGTCATTGGCAGCTGTTAATGCCATGTCAGTTTACAGGCTGCTCCTTCGGCTCGGCAGCCATCTGGCAGTACGAATCCCTCAAGTCCCGAGTCCAGAGCTACTTCGACGAGATCAGAGCTGATTGGCTGGAGAAGCTGCGACCACAGAAACGAGGAGACATGCGCAAAGAGGTGAGGAGGGTTAAAGGGTAAGGCTTGTCATATTCTCTGTTTCCGTTTCTTCTCACAAATGCCACCCAGAGCCTAACAGCAGCAATGCAAGTGGTGAACTCACCATGTGAATCAGACCCTGGTTTAGGTCTTGCGCCAGTCTATTTGACCGGTCTTTTAACCGTTTATACCCCGGTCA